ATGGAGAGAGGAGAAGTACAGTACGTGGTGGTCTATGGAGAGAGGAGGGGAAGATTTGCGCACGTACCTTGATTTGGGTCAGGGCTCACAGTGATTTTCCAGGTGGAGCTCCAGCGGGTAAAGACAATTCTCACCACCTGAAAAATGAGTGTTAGTCCTGACCCAACTGAGCTAAGTACTCTCCGGCTCCCGGTGGTCCTTGTTCATGGACCATCCCATCTTCTCATGAGGTCTCTTGGCGAAAGGAACACTTTGACTGACCACAACGGAGGGTGGAGGCGCGTAGAAAGGGTTCCAGATTTTCACCTTGTCCCTTGAAAGTCCAATTCACGGACCATTGGCCAGTCCTAGTACAATTATCTGACTTCCTTCTTATTGACCTGTTCTGTTAAAATTTATCCAAAGCCAAAACCCTTTTTTTTAAATTGTTGGATAGAATGTGGAAGGGTTAGAACCCCTGCTATGTTTTTATCGCAGTGTCTCCGTCGGTGAGATTCGCCCCCAATAATTACCATGGTAATAGTTGTCACCGGGACTGAAAGTTATGGGAAAGCCAACATTTTAGACCTTCCAATGGGGACACCTGTTCTGGTGACAACCACGAGGGGATTCCTTCACTTTGTAGAGATTTCCTCTAACTTCCTGTTGTGTCCCTGGGAAAAGGAAGTGAAGGGAAATTCCTCACAGGGGGACACATACAGCAAATAAACCAGAAAGGGTGTCTGACCATTTCCTACTCCATCCAAAACTGAAGGAAATTGTTTGCACTGAAGATCTTTATATTTAGAGAAGCTCTAAAGTCCATCCCACCAACGTATCCAGGTATGCGGTGGAATGTGGCGCTCGGTGACGCACACCTGGCAGCGTCTACCTGTCCCAGCACCACACAGTCCCTGGGAGGTGATCACCTGTTGTGGCCTGCACATTCCAGCCTGCCCTTTGTGAATGGAGCTTCGCTGGCTCTGTGCACAATGTCAGAACAGGTTGGATGAGCACACAGGGCGGAGGAGGTGCCTGCACTGCAGGGAGGGGCACAATCACCCCTGCCAGGCACTGGAGGGGGGAGGGGCAGCTGGTTTCTGGACGAAGTTTCACTCGGACGGTTGGGCTGTGATGAAGCTGAGGACAGGCTGCTGGAGGAGATCACTGAGCTCTGCATGGAGTATGTGAGAGGGGGACGCTGAGCACCTGGAGGCCACATATCACCCGTGCACATATGGCTGCTCTGTACCAGCTGCTGCTGATCTGCACCTGGCTGGGCTCAGGTGAGTGAGGACACTGCGATCCCTACAACTTGTACAACCATTTCCCTCAAGTTTCCTGTCTGAGCTACAAGAGGGTCAGCAGAGGGGAGAGCTGGAGGAGCGGTGCGCATGCGCAGACACACCTAGGACAGGTGGAGGAGCAGCAGGTGATCAGCAGACACCTGACACCGTGCACAGGGGACAGTATATAGGTGTGTGGTGTCACTGTATACAGGGGGCAGTATATAGGTGTGTGGTGACACTGTATACAGGGGACAGTATATATGTGTGTGGTGTCACTGTATACAGGGGACAGTATATATGTGTGTGGTGTCACGGTATACAGGGGACAGTATATAGGTGTGTGGTGTCACTGTATACAGGGGACATGAGATGGGTGTACGGTGACACTGTATACAGGGGACACTGAGCACGGGGGACATGAGACGGGTGTACGGTGACACTGAGCACAGGGGACAGGAGATGGGTGTACGGTGACACTGAGCACAGGGGACATGAGATGGGTGTACGGTGACACTGTATACAGGGGACATGAGATGGGTGTACGGTGACACTGGGCACAGGGGACATGAGATGGGTGTACGTTGACACCATGATGGGAAGTGTTGGTGAATTGTATCCGTGGTAGAAGAAGTAACAATGTCACGGTGTTCATCTGACGTGGATCCTGCACTGAGGACAGGAAGCTTCATCGCTGACGTATCCTGAGAGTAGTTGCCTGGCTGTCATGGAGAACTCTGCCATGCCAATGAAGAAAGCGTGCCAACGAAGAGTTAAAATGGTTTGCTTACCAGCAATGAAAATGTCACGTGAAGGACCCGCTTTCAAGGGAATGTGCACAGAGCTGATCACTTGTGTGATTAAGCTCCGATGGAAGCAGCTATTTCCTGACTCATGTGTCGCATACCAATCTTGGAGTGGTGATGCTATTGGCTGAGCCATTGTCCTAGAACCAGCATGCGGAACAGTGGCAAGATAATGGCTGCGATCTGATTGGTTGCTGTCATGGCAACCTTCTCTGGCCCTAATTCATCGAGTCTCAATGGTGGGCTCAAGGCATGCTGATTCTTGCTGGTCCTTGTAGTTCAGCGGCTCTTGCTGGTCTTTGTAGTTCAGCGGCTCTTGCTGGTCTTTGTAGTTCAGCGGCTCTTGATGGTCCTTGTAGTTCAGTGGGTCTTGCTGGTCTTTGTAGTTCAGCGGCTCTTGCTGGTCCTTGTAGTTCAGCGGATCTTGCTGGTCTTTGTAGTTCAGCGGCTCTTGCTGGTCTTTGTAGCTCAGCGGGTCTTGCTGGTCCTTGTAGTTCAGTGGGTCTTGCTGGTCCTTGTAGCTCAGCGGGTCTTGCTGGTCTTTGTAGTTCCACAGTTTGGTAGCTGCCGGTTGCCCCGCCCGCTGCGAGCTCTCAGGGTAAACATGGAAACTTGTGGCGGGGGTTTTCTGAGCGTTACAAAGCGTTCTTTGAGACAGGAATAACTTGTATGTTTTCTGGAGTCCGCCTCAAACCTCTCTGCTTCCTGAATGGAGCTTTCATGCCGCGCCTCCACCTCCGGGGAGAGTGATGCGTGGATACATTACACACACTGCCTGGGAAATGATTCCCTCCTGAGAAGAAACCTCGTTCATTGGTGGAGAAAAGATCGCTCACCTATACCGGGGGGTCCCGCGCTACACCCCACCATGACCAATCCTTGTTCCTGATTGTTGGTGAGCTCTTCATCCAATATAGCGGTCCCAGTGGTGAGGTGTCGGCACCCAGGTTCCCAGCTCCGCCCACATCCATTTCAGAACCAGAGGGAGGAGTCAGGCTCCATTATGACTTTTCTCCCAACAATCTACTATCTATGAGATTAAAGTGTCAGTTCACCCCAAAGGGAAACTGTTATTATAGGAATAGTCCGGAGTCATCATATATATATATATATATAGAGGGTCCCCCGACCCATAATTCCTGGCTCTGCTCCTGTCCACCATTGTGTGTTCCCGCTCCTCCTGTTATGTTCTCCATCTTATAAAATAAATCTAAAATCCAGAAGGGATAGTGGGAGCCCCTCATAATGGGCACAGCGGGTGTACAGACCCGGGAACTCAGCACAGGGATGGTGGGAACCCCTCATAATGGGCACAGCGGGTGTGCAGACCCGGGAACTCAGCACAGGGATGGTGGGAACCCCTCATAATGGGCACAGCAGGTGTACAGACCCGGGAACTCAGCACAGGGATGGTGGTAGCCCCTCATAATGGGCACAGCAGGGGTACAGACCCGGGAACTCAGCACAGGGATGGTGGTAGCCCCTCATAATGAGCACAGCAGGTGCACAGAACCGGGAACTCAGCACAGGGATGATGGGAGCCCCTCATAATGGGCACAGCGGGTGTACAGACCCAGAAACTCAGCACAGGGATGGTGGGAGCTCCTCATAATGGGCACAGCAGGGGTACAGACCCGGGAACTCAGCACAGGGATGGTGGGGGCCCCTCATAATGGGCACAGCGGGTGTACAGACCCAGGAACTCAGCACAGGAATGGTGGGAGCTCCTCATAATGGGCACAGCAGGTGTACAGACCCGGGAACTCAGCTCAGGAAATGAGGCGGGCTCTATCTGACTTGCTGCAGCTTCTGATGCACATTGTGAGGAGCTCGCAGGGTGCAGTGACATCAGAAGAAGCCATTTCAGTCCAGGAGAGTTTCCGGTAAGACTGGAGGTCAGATTTAAATGTTGTGACCGTCACATTCACAGCTCTCTGATTGTCAGACGTTCATATTGATCCCTATGGAATGCGCATTTTTACTGGAATCCACGTGAACATTTTAAACTCTGAGCACCGGAGCGCAAAGGTGCGAATGTCGCCCGGGAAGTGAGACGTCTCTGGAGCTGCGCTGAGATCCTGCAATCTGAGACGTACCTTTCATTCTTGATGACGCAGGTTTGCCGCGCTCGTCCCGGGGACCTGCAAGCAGAAGGTTGAATTAATCTCGCCCTCGCCCGCCCTGCTCACACTGAATTACAAACAGCTTCCTCCCTTATAGATGGTGATTAATAGGGAACAGCGGCGGGAATGGAGCGGCTCTGCTGACCTTGAGATGAAGAAATATATAAGCTTGTATAGAGGGGAGCCGGTCTGTGCACATAAAACAATGGCTGCGTGTACGGATTTTAAGCCTGCCCAATGGAAACACACAAACATACACTCAAACCTCTTCCTCTGAGCCCAGGCTGTCATGGACCCGCCCCCAGCCTGGGAATGGACAGTGAAAGGAGAAGCAGCACACTGATGAGCTCATCTCTCAGTCACTCTGCTCTCTCCTCTTATCAGCATATGCCTTGTCAGTATATGAACTGATGCCGTGCATAGGCTCCCGCAGACCCTTCCTCTAGTCTCAGGTCTGGACCAAGGTACGGACCTTCTGTTACAGAGCTGGAGGAATGTACCAATTGACTGCAAGTGCGGTGAGGCCACCTTACTTGTACTCTGAGATCTGCAAGTCTCTCTGCCACAAATGAATGATGCGGCTGTGTGGACGGAGCTAGGTTGGGGGGGGGCAAGGTTAAAGTTGGGGGGCTCATTTGCTGCCATGGACGGCATATTATTAACGGTCACAATTAACCATTACAAACCAATACTTTGTAAATAAATGCCGCTTTCCTCGTTAATCTCGTCTGTACGTAAGCGCAGATACTGGTTTGGCGTTCTTGACAGAACACCGGCACTAGAATTTTAAACAAGCGGTTGCCTGAGGTCCCGCGCTTGCTGGGGACCTCAGCAGCCTTCCTGTTAACCATGCTGTGCCATGGCGGTGGGAGGCTGGTGGGGGGGGTTTCTTGCACCGGGGCCCTGAAGGTTCTAGCTACGCCTCTGGGTGGATGATTTATATCCTCCGGTGCACACGTCATTCCCTCCACTAGATGGAGCCGAGAATCATTGGAATCTCCTATGCTCATGGGCGCCATCTAGTGGCGAGGTTGGCTAATGGCATTC